ATGTGGCGATGGCAACTTTTTGTCTTTCAGGCACAGGGTAGAGCTGGAAGTGATTTTCGAGGCCTTCTAGAAATATCGCCACCGAATTTTTTCCGTCGAAATTGACGTTTGGCTTGATTGACGCTCTCATCGTCTGGACCAGGTATCCAAATCCTTCCAATTGGCTTGCCATTTCTTGTTGTTGTCCAGCAACTTCCATCCAATTTTCGGCCATTTCAGTTCGACAAGTGTTCGGGCGCCAATGTAATGTTGCGCGCCCAACCTGCACGCAACAATAGTGGTGACTGCTATGAACTGGAAAGTACACAAGTCTTGAGAAGGGTTTAAATCCCTTTTTATTCAACTTTAGAAATTACAAATGCGTGCTCTTGACGCTCACAAACTACGCCGACCCGGCGGTAAAATAAAAATAAGAAACTAAAATGAATAATAACAAGTGACTAACTACGAGGCTCTCTAAACGTAACTAACCTCACCGCGTTCTAAGATACCGCTGATAATTCAGCAAACTTCTGAATATTACGTTGAAAGATTAACAATCTGCCGAGGCAAGCACACAGGCCGAAACGCGTGGTTCTTCAATTTCTAACTAGCCACCTCCACGCTCGTGAAGCAAGAAAGCACACTTTCGAACTCGTTTCCCTTCTATTTAACTCAGATTACTTCCGCTGACAATTTGAATACTTTGCGCGTTCTACTAAAATTTACATACTCTGGCATTGGCAATTCCAGGGGAAAGTAAGGCTTGACAGGAAAGATAGTTTAAACTTAAAATAAATGTTAGTTAAAATAAATATACCTACGAAACACTAAAAATGAAAAAAAACAGGGACTCTACCTACGTACGCAAGTTTCAATCCTCATTCCATTCTTCTGATCTCTATATTTTTCATCGTGAATGACTTTCATTAAATTTTCGATTATCTGAGAGTATTTGTTTCTTTATATCTTTCTTCGGAAATCAAGCAGTTAATTAATACGTTATTGTGTAATAAGACTATTTTGCACCAGAATAAAAACTTGAACTTTCTCTAAACATTTCCGGTATAAGATTTTGCGATAAATTATCAATACTAAATTATATAAATTTAAATGAATCTATAAGCTTCAGAAGAAAATTCTCGCAGAAAAATTACTCTTGAGTTTATTATCTTGGCGCACTTAATGAAGAGCTGGTGATATTCGTTTTTTCCTTCTCTTTTGAGTTTCAAGTAAAATGCTTGTTGTAACACCGCTATTACATCCAATTTCCGAAGCTAAATATTTAAAATTTCATCTTTGATAATGTTGACAGAAATAAAATACAGCTTACGAAACGTTCCATACAATAAATAAGCTGTTTTTAAATTGAATATGATAATTAACGCACTAAAATGGAAAAAAATAATTTATCATATAGTTTAATGGGAATAATAGATTAAAGAATTCTATTTACAGAATTCGTCTCAAATCATAAAAAGCACGGGGAACTTAGGAGGAGTCGGAACCCCTTATACCGACGATGTTAAATTGGCCATTTCTCGATATACCTTTTCTCACACTCTGCTGTAGATACCACTTGAAATTTGTTTAATTAATTGTTTTAGAGTAATTTATAGAATATTGGGTACTTTTCCATTTTGCCGGCACGGGTGATAAGTCGCCAAAAATTGTACAACCGATGCTAAACGGACTATCCTGGCTGGTAACCTTCTACGCCTCATTTTCGGAACAAGTCGCAGCCCTTTCTTATCAGATTGATTGTTTCTTTCAAAACTGGCATAGAATTAAATAGAATTTTTACCAGATAGTTCAATTTTATGCCCTACAGCAGATTTTGAGAAAAGGTACATCGAGAAATGGCCAGTTTAACATTCGCGGTAATTAAGTCAATTAGGATACGTTCATCCGAAGGAAAAAATATAGAAAAGACAAAGTCAAGGGTTAAATTCATCAATTCTAATGAGAATGCACTAGCGAAATTAACTTCTGAGTAAGCTATTTTTACAAACTGAAATAATTCTTGTATTTAAACTTGTTTTTCAAAGGATTTAATTTAAGATTTAACTTGAAATTAATGCAGATAATTACTGAGAGAATTAGATTTTTGTAGCGTACTTTACGTGAGAAGAGATCATTTGGGGGTCACATGATATGAACCGGTGAATCAGGATGTTGAACCATGAGAGCATAGTAAATTCTTAAAATTAATGTCTTTTTACAAATTTATTGTCTTTATTTATTGTTTTTCTACAAAATTTTAAACGATATTAAAATGTTTATGCCTTCAAAATAAAAATTCTTAGAACTAACATTTGTTAACAATTATTTGTGTGTTGTCCAATAAAGTATACTGGGCGAGATTTTGCGGGGCGAAACGAGAAAAGATACCCAAATATTGCAACTATTATGAAATAAATTAGCACTTTTCTCACAAAGAAAAAAAAAAAAATTGTTTTTTTTTTCTTTTTACTCACAAAAAAACTCATTTCAAAAAATTAGGAAATATAATAAATAAGCCATAAAATTTAGTACCGTGAGAAGTTACATCGATTAAAAAAAAAATCACTCATCGTCGGAAAAAACGCGTTTTTATATGAAAATCCTCATTTATCAAAGCATTCGGTGATAAATTAAAACTAGATTTTTTACAGTTATAATTTTCACAGAGATTAAAGTATGGTATTTTTAGAAAACTAAAAGTGTAGAGAATTTGAAAACTCAAAAATCCCAAATCACCATTTTTTGAAGATTTTTGGCCTTCAACAACACCCTTTAAATTACGAAACCTATTAATTTAACTGCACCGTCAAATTTAATTATCTTTTTAAACGTATCATCGACGTCCTTCTGTTGGATTATTGGCCATATGAAATTAAAGACGAATTCTGTTAACAGAATTCTTAATCTATTATACCCGTTCAGCTATATGATAAATAAATTTCCTTCTTTTAGTGCAATCATTATAATATCCATTTTAAATAAAAACATAGCGTATAAACTCCTTTTTACTTCCTTTTACGAAGTAAAGGAAGTATTGAAATCGGGAAAAATTTCGGCTATCATATTTCAGCCGCTCTCGAAGCACTTCAACGATATTTTTGCGTGACATCTGTACGTAGGGGCAGAATAAAGGAGTGTTTTTACCAAAAAAAGGATTGTAAAATGTACTTAAAAATGGATTCAGAAGATTTTCTTTCTTGACGTCTGTACGTACGTATGTAATAAATAGCTCGACAATTTTGTATATATAACACGTAGTTGTGCAATCGTTTATGTCTTATGTATAGTGTTCGAACAAGAGCGGTAAGATTGGCTTCCCGCAAAGCAGTTTAGGGTTTGCCATAAATGGCAAAGGAAGGCATGATTGCCACATTTGGCAGAAATCGCCCATTTGGCGATACGCGGAGGATAGAACTTTCTTACCGGTTTAGCCCAGAATGTTCTTAAACACAAGCCGAAAGCTATATAAACTCTACTGGTCCGCAGTCAGTTAGTAGAGTGCCACGTCGAGAGGGCGACATAGAGTGTGTGCCTCGTCTGGAGTGCGAGATAGTTAGTATCGATTGGTGTCTTGGTGTCTGTTATAACAAGTCAATCCCTGCGGAGTCTATCGAGTTGACAACCGGGTAGCGAGTGCCGAGTGGGTCGTCGAGTGCATCGAAGAGTCTCTTATTGTATCGCGGTTAGTGCATCGTCGAGAAAGTGTGTTGAGCTCCGGGAACGACTGAACCGAAGAGTCGAGAGCCGTGCTCTGTGTGTCGTCGAGTGCATCGCGAGTTGTAGCGTGGAGAGATTCGAGATTACGTGGAGTTCCGAGAACGACCAAGCAGAGTCGGGAGCTGTACTCTGGTGCTTTGCAGTGAAGCTGTCTCCACCGTTATTGCCTGACAGTGTCGCTGATTGTTCCAACGAGTTTATAGTAGATCTTCGACGACTGTAAAAAGTGACTTTGGAGCTGTCCTGATTGATATTGACTAAATAAAGTGTGTTTCGATACTTCATCCAGTGTCGTCGTTATTCACTCCAAATCCACACGAACCCCGTACGAACGTGAAGGAAGAAAATAACGTAACAATATATTTCAATCGTAATATACATATATATATCGTAGTATACATACATACTCGTATATTCCCATTCTGTTACCTGGCTCGGTGATCTTAGTTTTTTATTCTTATATGCTGGTAAATTGTGAATTTTTGGCTTTAAAAATGATTGAATTATGTAGTTTTTATGCTCCGGTTAAGGATTTTATGCCTTTAGTTGATCTGCATGCAATTGTTGTATAATTATCAAGAATTTAAAACTTTAAGTGGACAGTTATACCTAACGAACCACCTGAATCTACATTTGAAACTCGGTAGAGTAGTGAATTAAGTCAGCTACTCCATCTTCAATGGCTTTTTGTCGAGTGGGACCAAAAGTTTCAGCTTTGCATACCGAAAATTCTGCGTTTTTTGCCATTGTCCGAATTGCTTTGTTTTGCGTTGAAACTTTAATTTTAATTGTAAAAATTGTTTTTTAAACTTTTTTAAATGTATTTGGCGTTTTCTGTTTTTTTGTATTTTACAATTTTTAATGAAGATGCTTTGAGTGTCTATGTATTTTTGCTTTGCTGCGAAGTGAGAACTGAATTAATTGAATGAGAAATACACCTCTAATGAAATTTGAGGATATAAGTTTAAATGAAATGCAGCAAAAATGTGTATAATTTAATGGGCCATACAAGGAAGTCATATGGTGTTCACATCAGATTTTTTAATCGTATTTTATTAAATACTCACTTTATTGAATTTATTATTGCAAGGTATATTTACACGCGCTTCAATCGCGATTGGAAGAAATCTATAATTGTGAAAGAAAAAAAGATTTTAAGTTCTTTAAAGGAACCTAAAATTTTAACTCTCTTTCAACAATTAATTAATTTCATCTCAACTCTTCTTATTTATAATTATAAAGGGTCGGGTTTAGTCAGATTTAATTTATAAAGAAATCATCACATTATGATACCCAGTCATTTAAATATGGATATTAATTTTATTATTTGCTTCCATTAGCGTACCTGATGACGGCTTGTGTCCATAGATTCCAGAGAAAGAGGATGGGATCCGAATACTTCCCGCTAGATCGGATCCGATGCCCATAATGCCTCCAGCTGCTGTGATGAGGGCAGCTTCACCACCTGGGAAAAAACGTGCAAATAAAAGTGTATAGTAATACATAACCTAAAAAATCTTTGCGCCAAAAGACCGGCCAGATTATAACTGATATGGCAGACTAGGAGAATAGGAGTGTTTACAAATATTTTATTTCTTCAATTTTGATGGAATGATTTTTGGTATAAATTTTAATTCGAGAAAATCTTGAGAATGCTTTTCAAGCTTCTATTAATAAAAGCGGTTGCTTAATATTATAATTATAACTTAAAATAATTGTCACCCGTGACAATTATTTCAAATTTCACTAAAAGTTAAGATAAACATTGCCCTATTTTCTTTTTGATTCATGTCAGAGATATTTTCTCAGACCTGAAGGTTATGCAAATATGAAATATGCGCAGGGTTTTAAGGACTTGCGAATATTAACTGTGCATACTTGCGAATCTGCTATGACTTGACTTATAGCTGCTGTATTTTTTACCGCAATATTTTATGTTATATCTATTTATATTATTGTTTTCCATAACATTTTCATCTTCCATTTTTTCTTCTACGATGTTTTCGTCCATAATCATTTTTCGGAGGGCACCTGTATTTAAAAGAAATTGTATAAAAAAATGTTTGTTACTCCTGAAGTTTTCAAACACTCAACTTATATCACGAAACACCAATTTCAAATTCCTTCCAATTAAACGATAACTTAAATGGCGGAATATTAGTCCCAAGTTTATTCGTATTAAAAACAAATTTAAATTTTGTAAACTGCAGCAGTACAGAACATATCCAACTTACTGACCAATCTGTGATAATTACAGGATAATAACGTGCATAATTCTAAACGTAATTGCTCTTTTTTTTCCATTGGCATGACATTTTAGACGTTCAATTTCTAATTAGCCATGATAAATAGATACATTAATGCACCTCAGAGTGAGTCGGACATGAATGCAGGAGTTACTAATATTATGTGTTATTAAAATGATAGTTTTCTTTTTTTTTTTTACCTGAGCTGCCTCCAACGGTTCTTGTGATATCGTAAGGATTTTTAGTCATCCCAAATGCTAGGTTAGCACTCTCCCACCACATGCATAGTTCCGGTACATTAGTTACCGTCACTGGTATGGCCCCAGCTTTCCGGTACGAGGCAGCCGTGTCCGAGTCCCTCTCTGCTTTCCTGTCTTTAAAACGAACTTGTCCGGCTGCTTGAGTCAGGCCTTGTGAGGAAAGATTTAAATTACTGTTAATCTATAGGGATTTTCTTCCAATAAGAGCAAAATTTATAAGAATGAAGTAATTTTACGAAATACATTCCATATGTTTATTATCTCAAGCGTGTAAAAAGTAAATTTAAACTGCATGTCTCCTAAATTTCCAAATACGTATTATAGTAAATTTATGCAAATGTTTATATTTATTTGATTATATATCTCTTTTATGGATTTTGTGGTATAATGTACTTTTTCACTCATTTATTTCAGTATTTAACAATTTTATGCAATATTTTCTATATTTGTTTAATCGAATTATACCATTGTTTTTATTTGTAAGCTTAATTTCATGTATTATGTTATAGAACTTGTAATTCTGAATCTATAGGCATTTCAGGTATTAAGATAGCTTAGTTAAAACCTGAAATACGAACCGAAACTCGTCTGCGAAGCTTGGCAACATTCTAAAAGCTTCCGAAAAACGCATTTTAAAAACCTTAGGAAAATAGTTTTCTTGAAGCTTCCAGAAATGTTGAGCTCTTTGTACTTTTGCGTTTAGTTATATTAGTTGAAATTGTGCAATTCAAAGAAAAGCGTGTGTGAGCTTGTCCTTATGGATTACTGCTTTGAACTCTGCTGTGCTAATTGTTGTCGTATTTCATTTGTATGACATATGCATAACAAACCCACGAGTATTACCGTGACAAGTAGCACAAGTTTTGTGCCTATCATTTGATTTGAGCCTTGAGCACAATCTAGGAAACAGCAAGTTTTCTACTTAGTCCGGCAGCAGTTTTGAGAAAGAGAAGACGGATCCGAGGGTCTGTCGCCCGAGAAAGAGCACCTCTCGGGACGGATCCGAGGGTATTTCGTCATTAATCACTATCCCGTTTTTGCTTTGAGGGTGATATTGATAATTTGGGGTATTTTTCGCATGTAAGGGAGAAACTGCCATATCTCTAATGTTCTTCTTGAGTTGTTTACAGTTATTACCTTGCCGTACGATCAGTGTTTTATTTCATGGATTTATTTTTAAGACATTGACATTTTATTTATTTCAATAGAGTGTTCAATAAAGATAAATTCCAATTAAACATTTTTACCAGTAAAGTAACAACTTTTTTTTTTTAAATTTTTTACCTGTAATTCCGTAAATAACAAATACAAATATAATACATATATGAAGTTTTCCTTCTGCATGCAGACATTTCTAAATAAGATATCCAAAACACATTTCTAATACATATATGACGTTTTCTGACATACAGACATTTCTAAATCTTCAAAATCAGCTCAAAATATTGGAAGTCAATATACATATCGGTTGACTCAGAACACAAGGACAAGTTTTAAGGGATGATAAAGCACATTTCAATAAAGTTATTTTATATAGGAATGAGCACAAGTGAAGCGTTAAAGCAGTGGCTGAGGAATAAACCATGAAAAGGAACATAAAATAGCAATTACTTAAGCATCATTATCTGTTCTTCTTTTTCAATTTTTCTTCTTTTTACAACTGTTGTTCAAAATTGTGTCCAATTATATTAATACATACTTGGCCCAATCGATGGAGTAATAGTCATACAATTTCAAAAATAGCTGGGGTATTTCAGCAGATGTGCAGAATATTCGTGAGACAAACAGTTTAGCAGCGTCAAGTTTAGATGAAGGCGTTCAGATGTCCGTATAAGAATTAATCCGTAAAGACTCAGTAGAGCGATCTGAGTGATCAATGGACTAGCCCACAATGGCTAATTCATTGTCCTTACCCCAAAGGCTCACCCAGTTAACTGGTCTGTAGAAAAGCGTCATGCATTGAAAGAGACTGGACCCTTATCATAGTGAAATCATAGTCTCTTATGATCGACAACTGGAACACTTGAAACAATTCTGGTAAAGTCTCTTTCAGAAAAATACGATAACCTCTGTTATCGAGTAGTATTATAAGCAAATATAGATCAATCAAGAAATAGCTCAGAGTACCAGCAAACACATTCACAATGAATCGTTCTCGGAGAGTACGCGGGTTTGAATCTGCAAAAACATGATAGCTGTTCACGTTTAAGACATTTTTATACTAAAATTCATCTCATCTTTGAATAGCACTTGAACTAAGAGGTCCGCTACAATGCACTATTAAACAAAACTGGCAAAATTCCACGCGCAGAGAACAATTTTTTGTTTTCAAAGCTTGAATTACCTGAAAATGAAATGGGAATAATTATTCTTCGTTTAAAATCCTCCATATGGTAAGTTGGCAGCATTGGTGTACATCGATTGTCCAAGTATGACTCACACCTACTCGAAGTGCAATAGCCCTTCTACCTGCATCGGGGTTCTATGTTACAGGAGGTTCAAGATGAGGTCATCCTCGTCTGAAGGGATATCATTTAGCCCTCGGTTGACTCGATTTTTGTCTACTGATGTCAAAGAAACTTGTTTCAGAAAATGAACCGTGTAATTGCTTTAACATTTTGAGGTATTAATCTATTTAGACGGTATTGCTGATACATCCCGCAGCATTGGTATGCCGTCACTGTTCGGAACTTCGAACATGCATGTCTGTCTGAAAATACCACGGCGACAGTTCCAAAAAGCGTATTCACGCAGAGGCAGAATGTTGTCGGACAGCAAAGACATCTATTATTCTCTATTGGTAACAGTACAAGCCAATCACTCCATCGACTCTGCGAAGCAAAGACATCTATTATTCTCTATTGGTAACAGTACAAGCCAATCACTCCATCGACTCTGCGAAGCATGTATTTATGATTAGGGATCGACGCAATTTTTAGAAGTTGTTGCAAATAAAATTATAAAGCAGCACTTGCAAATGATGCTGTTATTAGTGATTTATACTTAACTTCCTGCTTTATTTCTTTGTGTCTGCATAATATAAAAATATTTGTCTACTCTCCTTTAAAATCTGTTTCATAAGTTCTTAATCCATTTGCATTCAAATACGCAAGAAATTATGAATTAAATACCATAATATGAACTTGATAAAACGATATAACGTTTAAAGCGTTTAAAGTTTGAAATTGATATAACGTTTAAAATTAAGGATCATACTTGCCTGTTTCTCTTCTGATTCTGTGTAATGCAACGTGAAAAATCTAAAGACAAGAGCTATGCCGGAAAAGTAAGAATACAGAGGGAAATAGTATATTTAACATTGAGTAAATGGGTATTTCGGTAATTTCGCTAGATATCACCAAGCTGAAAACAGTTTTTAGCTACTTATTTTATCTCCAAATTTGGCGAGAAATCGGCAGAATTCTCCAAACTTGGTGGCCATGTGGCGACATTATGGTGCGGTCCCTTTATCACCGTAATAGGTATTGTAATTGATCACTATATTAGTGCAACTGTAATTCGACCGTCATATTGCTTTCCAGTAATTTCGTGAAGCAGAAAATGCTAGAAATATCTCGGCGGCCGGGTGAAAACTATGTAAGGCCAGAGAGTAATTAGTTGTTGTTGTTGTTGTTATTGTTGCGTGTTGTTAGTTCAGCGGGAGTTTGGATTAGTGTTTTCTTTAGATGCGCTTTGCATTGTGTTGTGATTAACTTTCTTGTGGTGTAAGTGTAATTATTGATTGTACTGTGCGATACTGTGAACACTTGTACAAATATTTCTTTGGAAAATTCTAGAGCTTTGAAATATTTCTTTTGATAAAAATAATATTTTTGAATCTATAATCGGACCTGTGCACATTCCATCTATTACGAACCCGTGCGCACGCAACAGTATGTTTAGCCAATTATTAGATAAGTGGTTATCTATTCAAAGATGGATGAAATGGGAACATAACTATCGTTGAAAATGATGACAACGTTTGGAAATATGAATTATGCCTTATTCGTGAACCTTTGTTCACTAGAAAATGTGAAATACCCATTTAAAGTAAATTAAAATAATTTAATTCCTTTTTAAGGAAATATGGCATTAATTACAAATTAAACCTTGATGATGAAGAGAGAAGTGAACTGATTAATGAAAATTATTAATTATGTGTTGCAGATGGAATGCAATTGGTTCAGTCTTGGATGGAAATTATCCGGCGGTTTTTAATATTCCACGAGAGCTGAAAATAATTCATAAAACAGCAAATGTAAAAAATTTCTTATTTTAATAACAATTCCTGAAAACTAAAATTTTTACAATTCCTTGAATCAGCTTTATAGGCACGTCTGCGAAAATAAAAATAACTCTAAGCAGCATACCCTCTTCCAACATCCCGACAACATTTTATTGTTATATAGCGCCACAATGACAGAAATTTTTAACCTCTTGAAAAAATCATTCAGCTTGTGGATATACGCACATGGTAATATACTGGATACGATGAGCTAAAATGTGAAAAACAATGTATCTGGATACATGGTAAGATACATATTTTGAAAAGAGACAGATTTATCATCCTCACCTTTCACACCGATGGATTCTTTGCAAGTGAAAGGTACTCCCAGCAAAGGAGTGTCTCGTGCGATATCTTTCTCAGATTTTTCACCGCTGGCCAGAAAATGATCTACAGCTATGGCATCATTAATGGCGTCCACGTACCTCTCGTCCACGACAGCGTTGATAATTGGTTGGACTACTTTGATCCGCATAATATATGCTTTCATAACTTCCTCGCAGGTTAACTAGAATTGAACCAGCATAAATACTGAAATTACATAAAAGGTATAATTTACTCCCTGTTTATATCAGTTTACACATTAAGAATAATTATGAGGTCTTGTCAAGAAAACGGGATCTATACTTTGGCATTAAGACATTTTTAATTACCACTTATTTTTAGAATCCGAGTCTTTACAGACCTTTTCTTTTAGCATAAAAATTATGCTGCATTGTTTATAAAATACACTGTATTTTGTTAATCTTTTTCTTAATTAACATTTCAGAAATGCTATTTAATTTATTAGTTAATACTGCAAAAATCATAATTGTAGCAAATAATATAGAACAATTCAACTGATATTGACAAGTCATCTTAACGTATACTTTTAAACAACTCGATGCTCAACAATAAATTATTTTTCTATGATAATCCACTTCATGTGAAACACTGTATGTGTTTAAATAGACATTAACTTAAAAATGAAAGTGTTCCAAACTTCAAGTGAAGAAAAAACATCTTTTTGTTAAGAAAAAGAATAGTTTACCTGTCTCTTTCGAATCTTCTCAGCGAGTTCTGTGGCTGACATGAGAAGAATTTCGTTATCTATTGGTGGCAACTGTGGAGTATTTCCCATGAAGATACTATATAAGACATTGAGGAGTTTATCTGACAAAGGACGAGTCAGAGTCAGGAAGACTCTAACAAGTCCACCGAGAACTCCAATCATCTAAGAAAGATAAAAACAAATAAATTACGAATTATGTGCATCACTATTTGATAAGCAACTAAGACATGTCGGCAAACGAGAGTTTTTAGAACATATTCCTATCGTGTACGAAATATATTAGAATTAATACATAAAAAATAAGTATTGTGCTCCGTTTATACACGCACTTTATCCTTAAGACACTTTTAGATCCATTTTAATGAATTCAAATTCTATATACGAGTTACAATCACACGGGTGAGGGAAATCATATAAAAGTACGAATGGTAGACTGTAGGCAATTAATGAAGCAATCATTTATGTCCCACAATTTAGCTCTAACAAAATCACTCTAAAATCATAGACATGTTCTTACAGACTATGCCCACCGCACCAGTGTGTCACTCTGTAATCTGGCGTATTTTGACTTATGCCCTACCTTTCCGGAACCCAATGTGGTAGATAGTTATTCAATCTAAAGGCAACTTGCGCGCGTGTAATAGTTACTAGCTAGATCAGGATAACATCATGCTCAATCGATTCGCTTGCAGAGTATTTTATGTTAACCAAGCCATTATCTTGTGATTTTTTAATTGTTTTTTCATTCTGACTTTTCGTAAGTCTCCATGTAAATGAATACATATATTTAAGAACAGAAAGCTTCTTGGGAGTTAGAAGGAATGCTTAGGCAACGACCCTAAGGTAATACTTAACTTAGAGTTTACGCAGTCCTTAACATTAGATCGTAACCTAGTACTTAACCTTAGACCTAAACGTAGTAATTTGATTGATATTTTAAAGTTTATTCATTAGCTTTTATGCTAGCCAATTTGTTGTTGCATTTAGTTAACGCTTATTAGGTTTTTGCAATGTAAATCTCCAGCACAAATTACTTTAAATTTTAATTCCGCATTTATGTTGTCTAAAACCTTGTAAGTAGCGGGAATTAATAAAATTAATATTAAATCTATTTTATTATAGTTTCCTAAATTAATATTAACTCTAATTTAAAAATTATTACTAACTCTATTTCATAATTAAGTTTCTAAATAATTACTTTAAATGTAAACTTTGCATCAATTTTATTTAGAATAAGAAATTTTAAAAAAAAATTCTTTCTGTGTATCAAAGAGTGCGTGCTATTCAGAATCTGAGCAACCGAGATCTTTTTCACAGGCAGAAACAACTCCTCTCCTTCCCCACAATTTATAAAAATGAGCAAATTACAGCGTATTTGAATGTGGTCGTGCTAGGCTGCTATTACATATCCATTTGCTTCGGATACACAGCTGTTTCAACCAACTTTTCTGCCTTATTGACCACTGAAAGAAAGACGCGCGATTTTTTCCTTCCTTTTGCAAAATGTTGTAAGTTCTTCGTTTTCAACAACCAATGAACTATTAGCATGGAATTCCCTATTATCAAACGTCATTTGTAATGGAGAGTTAGTTTCTCTTTAACATGGTAACCCCCAAAGTGATCCGTTGTGATTGCCTATTTTATATCATGTGACAAAGCAGAAAATTTGTTCTAAACAGTTGTTCTTTCAAATGTTTTGAGTGTGTAATACGATCATTACAGCATACAACTAGGTTATAGGTTGTGTTAAAGCATGCAAAAACAGTTGGTGTTTACCGCTGCATTAATGCAAATTATTACTATTTTTAAAATTAAGATAGACGAATTTTCTGTTTCAAACATTACACTATACATTTAGTTGCTGTTGGGTTTAGATGCAGACACAACTCAGACCAATATTTCTTTATTATATAAATAGCGCTGATGCATCACTGATATAGTGGGCGGCCATCGCTCGCATTTTGTATTTTGTAGACACTCTGACCGGCTTGGGTTTCGCTAAGAAAGGACAAATTTCCCGATATTGCCATGAGAAAGAAGTATTTTCTTGATTTGAATGTCAAAATGCGATTGTTACTTTGTACCTGAATTTATGTACTTTTAATATATTGTCTTTATTTCTTGAATATATTTCCAAATGCATACATATATATAAATATAATGATTTAATTCAAGTCCCCGTAAAATAATTTTAACAATTTACATTCAAGTTACTTTAAAACAATTTTCGGAACTAAACTTCCTACCTCTAGGTTCACTCTTTTTAGATACTTCTACTAAAATTAATATTAGGAGATAATATAATTAATATTTCATTAGTATAATATATAGTTTCCTTTCCTAAAATTTAAATTAATGATTGGCTGAAGCAACTCACTGAATCATCAGCACTTCTCCATTATAATATAACGTGGATTAATTTTGAAATGAAGGAGTTTAGAGGAATTTGTTTTAAACAGTTACTATTTTAGGATAGAAAGGAGATACAGCCAAATTAAAATGGAGAATTAAGTGGCTGTTGCAAAATCAAAATAAGCAGTTTGATTTGCATTTTTATTTTATACAAACATTATGTATAAAGATGTAAAATATAAAAAATACGATGGGTTTCCTGTACGCGAACAGGCAGTCTCTAATTAATTTTCCGCAATTTCAGGATCCTCTCCTAGACCAGTACTTTCAAGAACATTCTGGCATGTTATGTAATGTCTACTGTAAATACAGGGTTCGCGCCATTTTTCGTCAGACTGCTCCCTGCTATCGTTGCTATAAGACCTTACGCTGCTCTATCCCTTCTTCTTCCCTTTGTTAGACGTCGAAGTTATGAGTCGAAAGCTTAAATTTAACCTTATTTTAATTTAAATCATTTTTGGTTATGTAATTTTGGAGAATCTAAAAGAATAATGATAATGGTTTGGAGGTAAGTGAAATTCTGCTGTGTTTTCAATTCTCCTGCCTTCCACTTCGCAACAACTGCATCCGGGTTCTAATGTGACCATATTGCTAAGCTTCATCATTCCCAATGCCCATCTACTGCAAATATCACACACACACACACACACATATATATATATATATGCAAAAAATAAGTATGTAAAAGATAAAATTTAAATTAACAGCGTAAATTAATTTTACTTCTCTATTCTAAAAATACTAATCTCTCTTTACATTACGTCTTTTCGAGATTAATCCATGTCATATGACCCTTACATAATCCTGATGATGTAAATGGAACTCAAACAGCCAATAATAATTTTACAGTAGTATTAATTATCCAATCAAAATGCATTGAGAACCAAAACTTGCTCAGGCTGAATTAAGATTTCCCACTGAACATAACGCATTCGCTTACTCTTCGGCCAAGCTGGACTGCAGTCTGCTGCTTCCTTCTTACTGCAAAGTTTCACGTATATATATATATATATATATATATATAATCGAAATAGAAATTGAAAAGCTAACATGTAATGTAACAAAATTACAAAAATTATAAAATTTACAACGCGGAAAAAGGTAAATTAGCCCAATTAGACTTCCAAACCAGGCTTTTCAAGGGAAAAATTCGACATTCAACTATTTTTCCCTTGAAAAGCCTGGTTGGAAGTCCAATTGGGCTAATTTACCTTTTTCCGCTTTGTAATTTTTATAATTTTTGTAATTTTGCAATTTATGTTTTAATTATTTTTTAATTTTGTTTTAACTTGTTATGTCGATCTGTTTTTATATGTATTAAATTTTCACATATCACAACGATCAGATTAGTTTATTTGTGCATTCACATGTTTTCCAACATTGATTTTAACAGTTTTATTTCACGTGTAAGCTGTTTTTTCACTTAACTTTTCCATGTTAATATTTCTTTAAACATTACTTCTATGTTAATATTTTAAGAATACTGCGTTGAACTATTTCATGGAGCTACAGCTCCTGGTAACTTTTTAGCAAGCTCGCTACAATGTTTCTTCCTATTATATATATATATATATATAATTAGAGAAACCATCTCCCGGAAAAATCATATTAAAAACCACTGCAGTTGAAAAATCGCAGTCACAATAGAAGTCAATTTCAGTTAAAAATTCATTTTAGAAAACACCCTGAAACTTAACATCCACAAATAGAGAACTAGAAAATTATGCCAAGTAGAAATGTTGTCCCTTAAAAATAGCTGCAACATTTACACATTTGTAAGACTATTCCTTCAAAATTTTCAACAAAACTGCTAAATAGTTCGCCATTTTTTATGCTTTAATTGGATATTTGTGGGTGATTATTTGAATATTTGGCTCTAGTTTTGTACTTTTATGTTTTAAAGGACAAAATTCTGTTTTTTAAGCAATTTTCTATAATTTTCTTTGGTAAATGTTTGCAATTGGGTGCCCCTTGTTTTTTGGCGATTCTTTATTGACGCCAAGAAGGCATAATTTCAAGATGGCCGCTACACAAAACCAAAATAAGAAGTCAAAGAACTGCACAAGTTCTGTGCCCATGTGCACATCGATCTATTTTCACTTAAAAAACATGAGAGAATTGCACAAATTAGGCATTGCGCACTGCCTTAACTTTGTCTATGTAAACATTAATATATTTTCATTTAAAAAAAGATCATGAAGCTAAAACAAGGTTAAAACTATCACGGTAACCAGAAATAAGGTAAATGTAACAAAATGTAACGAAATTTGTCGCTAATCGAAGGGGCACCCAATTCTACACTAGAGTCTTTTCTTATTTTAAAAAATATTTTATTGATATGAGGTTTGGGTTCGTATTTTCGGGTGTTTTAGGCACTTTATTATTTACTTATACTACCATAGTATATACGGCAAAAAACAGTTCAGATGGATTAGAGAGCGGTCAAAATGGATATTGTTATTGAAATATAATACCAGAAATTTTTCGCAATTGCAGTACTTCCTTTACTTCGTAAAAGAAATAAAAAAATGAATTTTGAAAATTTTAAACTTTACCTTTAAGAGAAAAAAACTGCTGTTTTTGAGCATATAGATATTATAATAAATATGATATAGAAGTATAATGTGGGTAAAGTAACTTACCCGATTTATCATTTTGAAAAACTACTTCATAAAAATGGACTTCCAGCGTGAAACAGCTTTCTTTCAAACTACCATTGGAAATAATGACCCAGAATATCCAATAAAGTGTCATAAACTTAGGTAAAACTGTCTTGATCGGATTATTGAGCTTATCATTAACTCGTCCGTAACCTTTAGCCTTCTAGATAATGTTGCACGCGCTTGCTGCTATCAGATAAATTAACGGCTGGCTAAATTCTTCCTATTTCTTACGATTCGGCAGTTAACGTCCCATACATATTTTAAACTTTCCTCTTATTTTTTTTAATTAGAGATAATAGAACGAGGTGAAAAAATGGAAAATGGGTAATATGTTCTATAGCTTTATTTTTACTTCTGCCTTGAGAGTTTTGGTCCACGTTGTAAACAGATGCTCTAAAATGGTATTTGATAGAACTCTCGTTAATGTTGTTGTAATCTCAGATCTGGGAAAGTTTACCTAGTTATTTACTTGTTGAGTTGAAAAAGAATTTATGGCTGTAAAGCCGTATAACTGACAGTCAGAATGACTACCATATACTGGCAGCTGCAATGAAATTTGTAGAATTTTATCCTAAGTCGTGAATGAATGTTTCGCATAACACACTACAATGTATTGATAGTCTTTGAATGAGATGGGCTTGGGTGAAATAGATTTTGGACTTGATGGTATCCTCTCAGAAAGACGTTTAGGGCTGAAGATTTGTATTCTGTTCAGTAATGCAACTCGAGAAACAGCGCTTAAAACATTCGTATTAACAATTGCGGGAGATACAAAAATCCTGAATCAAAGACCATCATTAAGTGAAGTTCTTAAGGTAAAACAGTATAGACATATGTTTATTAAGAAGTATAAAGACTGCCTGTATTTGCGCCCCAACCTGCCACAAGTGGTGACTGCTATGAACTGGAAAGTAGACAAAAGTCTTGAGAAGGGTTTAAATCCCTTTTTATTCAACTTTAGAAATTACAAATGCGTGCTCTTGACGCTCACAAACTACGCCGACCCGGCGGTAAAATAAAAATAAGAAACTAAAATGAATAATAACAAGTGACTAACTACGAGGCTCTCTAAACGTAACTAACCTCACCGCGTTCTAAGATACCGCTGATAATTCAGCAAACTTCTGAATATTACGCTGAAAGATTAACAATCTGCCGAGGCAAGCACACAGGCCGAAACGCGTGGTTCTTCAATTTCTAACTAGCCACCTCCACGCTCGTGAAGCAAGAAAGCACACTTTCGAACTCGTTTCCCTTCTATTTAACTCAGATTACTTCCGCTGACAATTTGAATCCTTTGCGCGTTCTACTAAAATTTACATACTCTGGCATTGGCAATTCCAGGGGAAAGTAAGGCTTGACAGGAAAGATAGTTTAAACTTAAAATAAATGTTAGTTAAAATAAATATAAACCCTACATTTGCCGCTGCCAGAATTTGGTAAAACTTGGAAGCAGGTCCTAGAAACGACCTGTTGAAAAGTTTCCACAATTCTGAACTAAATTTTAAGAGCCTCGTTTACATAAAAAAAAAAAATCTGTTATCTCACAAAAGGTAGAATAAAATTTCTGTAGATACTTATTTAATTCTCTCTTCTTACAGCAACCTTTCCTGGACTTCAGCAATCAATCTGTTCTCTTCCTTCCAGCATCTGGAAGGAATAAGTATCAGTATCTTTCTAAATACATTATAATTTACACTTTCTTGACACTGAATAAGTTTTTGTTTTTGAACGATTTATTTTCCTTAGTTACTGCTTAATTCACATTCATTCAAGTATTCAAACATGAATTTAACTTTACCCTGGCTCTCCACCATGTGTGGTGTCAAACGGGAATATTCGTGTTTTAGTATTGCAACACTTCCCCTAACCACAATGATTTGTTAGAATTCAACGACCAAATAGACACACCTTACTCGACATTCTACAACTCGATGAGCTACTTTAACATTCTTAAAATTCAAGTGTAGGTGGAGAACCCTACAAAACACATTCATTCTAAATTCCCCCTCATTCATCTTTAGACATGCAGGCTTTCGCTCTAAAGCATGATTTTATCTACAGTTTAATACTTAAATTTGAATTCATTGCTTTTGAGCATTTACTTTTAGCATCTAAAATTTTATGCTTCTAGACTAAATTCTACTTTTACATAACTTTCAAGTATTTACGTATATTTACAAAATTCTAATACATATGATTTTTACAATTTACCATAAAATGAATAAGAGAAAAACTTTAAGCATTCTTCGCCAAGCTGGCGGCACTGAACCTAAATTTCTCATTAATACAAGAATACGAAGTTATTTTTATCTTCGGCCAAATTTTGGCTTTAACATAACAGAATTAGTCTTTCGACCAACAGAAACTGCTTGTTCTTACATTTTATTCTTAAAGAAAATAATACTTTTGCCTTAGCTAAATAAAGTAAAACAAAAACTAAGTCTCAACCGAGACAAATTGACTTCCGTCAAAACATAGAACTTCGTATTTACGCATAACATTTCGGAACAAAAGAAAAAAAATTTTATAGAAGATTTTAACTTATCTTTGAGTTTTCGATGATTGGAACTCCTACATCCTCTTCTGGCAGAACTGCTCCCACGTTATAGGAATTTCATCGACGTCAGTCTTCTCCTCAGTGTCCTCCGAGTGTCGTCCACGTTGCTTTTTTTTTCGCCCTCTGCATGCTGGCCTCTTGGAGTGGTAGTCGTCGGGTTGCTGTCTTTTCCGTTTTGCTCCTGGACGGCTGGTCTTGGCGTACTCCGGTCTGGAATCGTGCTTGCTTGAATTTCTTCTGTTGGTGGTGGTCTTTTCGTTCCTCCTGCTGTCTTTTCGTTCTCGGGAACGGCGGCCTTGTTTGCACCTGACTCTCTGGCCCTGGAAGCGTTCTCCTCGATGTAGAATTTCTACTGCGATACGTTGTAAGTGGTGTTTTTCCTCTTTACCAAAGGTTCTTTACGCGGCGGCTTTGCTTTCTTGTATTTCTTAAATGCTGGAGTCTGAACGTTTTCATTTCTTCTTTTCGGTACCGTCGCATGACTTGTAGAAGGGCTAGGTTTCTCTTCAGTTCTCTGCTTCTTGGGTGGTGGAACGGGTGACGTTACTTCTGGACCTTCTACTTCTTTTACGCTTGAGTCCTGCAAGAAACTTTTAAGGATTTCAAAATCATTTTGATTATAATATTTTTTCACCTGGTCGGGACTTGCTTTACAGATTTCCCCTCTCTCGTTCTTAAGGTACAATACGACTCCCTTGATTTCCTGAATTACATAGGGGCCTTCAAATTTTGGAGCTAACTTTGCAGTAAAATTGTCTGGGGCACTTGATAAAGAAAATTTCCGCTTCAACACTTTATCCCCAACTTTAAAATCTGCTTCACGGCGTTTTCTATCATAGTATAATTTTTGTCTATTTCTTGCCGTATCCGAGCTTTTAACCGCCTGGTCAATAAGTTTTGCACATCTTTCTGTTTAAATTCTTGCTCTCTTTGTTGCACAAAGAATAATTTATCTAATGGCGTAATTAACTTCCGTCCTAAAAATAATTCTGCTGGAGTTTGCCAAGTAAGCCATGTTTGCCATAATGTTTTCAAATATTTTTGGCTAACGAATTGTTTAACGTTATCGCTAATGACATTTATCGGTGCACCGTATTTTAAAATGTATCTGTGTAAGAATGCATCTGCGACTGTTTTGGCTGACGCGCGTTTAAGTGGAACAATTTCTGTCCATTTTGAAAAATGATCTACAATTACTAAAAGAAAACGATTTTTATTTAACTCACTCTGGGGGAAAGGACCAAGAAGATCTATGCCTAAAATTTCATTCGGAAATGTAGCGCGAATGCTATTTAAGTACCCGGCCGGGCTGTAATTAATATCATTTATTAACTGACATTGATTGCAGGACCTGACATACGCAGTTACTATTTTGTATAATTGCGGGAAATATACCGCCTCGCGTACCCTTTTTAAAGTCTTTCTGACCCCTAAATGAACCGCTGTTTTCGCGTCGTGTAATTCCTTCAAAATGCTTAATCGAAGCGAGGCTGGGATGACTGGTTTGTACTCGAGATTTTCGTTTGTTGTTTTCGTATAAAATAATAAATTATCTATTATTTCATAGTTTTCTGCTCTATTTCTTATCGCATCGATATCTGTGTGCTCAAAGCTTTCGGGGTCTTTCAAATATGCATAGATACTTCCAAATTCAGGATCAGCTTTCAATTCAGCAATAATTGTATCTCTAGAATCTAAAATTTTTGAAGTCAACACAGCGCATTTAAGTTCATTGCCTTCATCGTCCAGTTTTATACGAGAAAGTGCGTCAGCTACATTGTTTTCCTTACCCGGTTTATATTTAATTATGAGATTATATTCTTGGAGTTTTAAAGCCCATCTTATTAACCTGGGCGTTAGGTTTTTCCCCGAGTAAAGTCTACCAACAGCCGCATGATCCGAAAAGACTGTTACTGGCGCTTTGCCGAAATAAACTCGAAATTTGTGTACAGCCATTAATACGGCTAATGTTTCTCTCTCTGTAGCTGTATAATTCCTTTGTGTATGATTCAACGTTTTACTAAAAAATGCCAAAGGATGGCCATTTTGCATAACAACCGCACCCACAGCATAGTCCGACGCATCTGCTGCAATTTCCAGGTTTTCGTCCCCCTCCGGGAATTTCAAAACAGGGGCATTGATGAGCGCTTCTTTTAACCTTTCAAATGCGGTATTTGCTTCTGCTGTCCACGTGAATTTACTTTTCTTTCTTTTAATTACTAACAAGGGTTCAACAATATTAGCAAAATCTTTTATGAATGACCGATAATAAGAACATAACCCAAGGAAAGAAGAAAGTTTCTTGGCGGTGTTGGGAGGTGGGAAATTCTTGATGGCTTTTATTTTTGAATCTTGAGTTTCTATACCCTTTTGCGAAATTTTATAACCCAGATATTTAAGTTCTTTAGTTGCGAACTTGCATTTTGCGTTAATTGTAAGACCGGCCTCTTTTAATAATTTAAAAACTTCTTCTAGATCTTTAATATGTTGTTCCAACGTACTACTCGTTATAATTATATCATCTAGATAGATTAAAGTCGATTTTCCTAGGACAGG